TTTTTTTTCTTTTTGATGTATTCTACAGAAAGTCATAACTTCACTCTATAGAAAACCAGTCGATAGATTACTTCAGATTTCATATTACGATTCTAATGCGACTTAACCAAGCACTCATAAACAATTTTGTTTGACATTCTTATTGAATTTCTGTGGACAGATGCTAGAAGATCAAAATGTCAACGGTACAAAGTACACAGAAGCACACGAAGTGAGCGAGTTGCTCATTAAGTTGGCTAAAAAGACAGAAGAACTAGCCGTCAAGGAGAAGGATATTTTCAGCCCTGTTCTAAAGAAATGGCATCCGGTCGCCGCTGGAGTTGCCGCTGTCACTCTACACACGTGCTTTGCAACATTGTTAAAGCAATACCTAACCGGGAAATCCACGTCCTTGAATGAGACCATCTTGGTACTACAGAGGGCCGGTAAACTTGAGAAGTTTTTGGTACAATTAGTGGTAGAGGACTCGGTCGACTGTGAGGATGGGGGAAAAACGATCGTGAGGGAAATGGTTCCCTATGAAGTCGACTCCTTCATACTAAGGCTATTGAAACAGTGGGTTCAGGAGAGGCTGCAGAAGGGAAAAGAATATGTCCTTAGGGCAAAGCAGACAGAAGTAAGTTTGAGTTTATTTAGAGAATTTTATTCGATATTTGTATTCGATTTTGTCACATGTGTCATAATGCTTCGTTTGATGGTAATGTCTTATGTGGTGCAGACATGGAATCCCAAGTCGAAAAGCGAACCTTATGCTAATTCGGCTGTTGAGCTAGCTGGGTTTGCCAAGGAAGCCGTGGATGATTTCTTTGAAATTCCGGTCAACGTGTTGGAGAGTTTATTCTTTGATTTTGTGGAAGGTGTAGAGAATCTCTTCCAAGATTACATCGCCTTTGTTTCATCGTGCGGTGAGAAACCAACATTCCCTGCCCTATCGCGATAAACGACTAAAACAAACGTTTCATTTTCAAGACATTATATAATTTGTCTCACATGCATCATTAATTAATTTATACATATTTGTTTTACAGGATCAAAACAAAGTTACCTCCCCACACTCCCTTCCCTATCGCGATGCAGCCGCGACTCCAAACTGTCCAAACTGTTTAGGACGGCATGCAGCGTGGGTGCGTCGACCAACACGATAATCGAGCAAGCCAGCAGTCCCAACCACAACAATAACAACAACAACCCACGTCCCTCTACTAGCCGTGGGACCCAGCGCCTCTACATCAGACTCAACACCATCCACTATCTCACCTCCCAACTCAACTCCCTTGCCAAGGCCCTCTCCCTCTCTCCCAAGGCCCCACCCTCGCCTGCTCGATTTGACCGCTCCCTCTTGTCCCTTCAGGACGCGTCCCGCCACGTGGCAGAGGTTTCCGCCTATCGCCTTGTCTTTCTCGACTCCAACTCCGTGTTCTACGGAGGGCTCTATGCGGGCCACGTGGCTAGGGCCCGCATCCGCCCCGCGCTGAGGCTGTTGAAGCAGAACCTGACCCTGCTGTGCGCCATCATCACCGAGCGGGTCCAGCCGCTTGCCTTGAAGGAGGTAATGCGGGCCTCATTCGAGGCCTTCCTCCTTGTCATGCTGGCCGGAGGGAGCTCGAGGGTGTTCACCACAGCAGATCACGCGCTTATAGAGGAAGACTTGGAGAGCCTGAAGCGCATGTTCTGCACGTGTGGGGAGGGTTTGTTAGTGGAGGACATGGTGGATAAGGAGAGCGAGACGGTGGAGGATGTGGTGGGGATGATGGGGCAGCCGTCTGAGCAGCTGATAGAGGAGCTGATGAGCAGAATGGGAGTGGGAGGGGGCTCAGGGGTGCCACTGCCGCCCACGACAGGGAAGTGGGGGCGCTCGGACCCCAACACCATACTCAGGGTGCTGTGCTACAGGGACGATCCAACGGCAAACCTCTTCCTCAAGAAGGTGTTCCGCCTGGCGAGGAGGCCCCGGATCAGGATGATTTGAGGTTTGTATTGATAGGGATTGGGAGGTGTTTTGCTGTTATTGTTTTTATTTTTTATTTTTTGGTTCTTTCAAATCTTCTTCCCAAGTTATATATATGTATGTTTTGGTCAGACTTAGGGAATAATATTTGTAAGATTATGTTGCTGGAGCTGCAAAATGGGTTTTTTCTTTTACTTTTTTCTAAAATCTTTCTGTAAAAACTTTGTTGGATACTCTATACTATTATTTGTTTATATTATTGTAAAGCCAGTTTCCTTTATTGCCTTTGTAGCAAGTTTTCTTTTTACTAGGAAGATCCAGTGTATTTTTTTTTTTCAAATTATTTTTAGTATTAGGTTTATCTTTAAAAGTATAACCTAATATTCTTTCATTTAGTTTAACAAAACATGGTGTATTTTATTGAATAATGAAATATAATATTTAATACTATTATCTGAACTCTATGATGAATAAAATTAATAAAAAAAACATTGGGTTGAAAACCAAAAATAAAATTAATATTTTTTTAGTGAAAATGTAAATGCTAAAAAAATTTATAGTCTTTGATTTTGTTATTTAATGATATCTTCATTGTGCTTAAAATAATGATCACTATTATTGTCTTCATAATATAGCTTTCTAATGTCATCCTTTTACATCATACTCTTCGAAAAATAACTCAAATTTGCTATAACTATAATTTATAATGATTATTTTTTTATTTATTTTCGATTGGAAGCTAACAAACTATGTCTAAATAATTCGTTCTCAATTATTTTGATTATTGTGGTTGCAAGTGTAATTATATTTGCAAGTATAATATTTCATAATACTTAGATATATATAGTTATTCTCTGGTCATAATGACATAAGAGATACATAAATATTTGAAAATGTCTTTAATTCAAGTCGTAATTAACTAATTATTTCAAAAAAAAAATTTACTTGAAAAGCATAGGAATAATAACATCTTTATTGATTAAAGTTACCCATCTATCTATATATCTTTTCCAACATAAATTATTGTTGCATCTCCTAACATTGTTATACATCCATTATCTTCATTCACGAATTTTCAAGACTATCCTAAATGTGAATAGTTACTAATTTCAGTTTAAATGAATTATGTAATGATGATTATTTCATATTTTATTTTTATCTTAACATTATTTTTATATATTCGTCAACATTTCATCCCTACTTCTGCTTAAAATAATTATCATTAATATTGTCATCAAACATAGATTTCTAATGTCATCCTTTTGCATCATACTCTTTGAAAAATAATTCGAACTTGTTATAACTATAATTTATAATGATCATTTTTTATTGTAGATTAGAAGCTAAAACATTATGTTTGAATAATTCGTTCTCAATTTTTTTTTATTATAGTGGTTGCAATTGGCCATATTTGCAAGTATAACATTTCATAATACCTAAATATATATAATTTTTCTCTAGTCATAATGACATAAGAGACACATAAATATTTGAAAATGTCTTTAAAGTCATAATTATTTCAAGAAAAAAAATTACATGAAACAACTTAGGAATAATAACATCTTTATTGATTAAAGATACTCATCTATCTACATATCTTGTCCAACATAAATTATTGTTGCATCTCCTAAAATTGTCATACATGCATTATCTTCGTTCCCAGATCTTCAAGACTATCCTAAATGTGAAAATTTAATGAGTCTAGTTTTAATGAATGATTCATACTTAAAGTAAATTCACTATTTATTTTTATTTAATTAATTTTAATTGTAACTATTTTCTAATAAGTACACGTATTCTAAAATTCAAGATTTAAAATAGAATTTTAGTTATTTTATTTTATTTCTGTAATTAATCTATTTTGTTTATATTACAATTCAGTAAATGCTATTTTAATTCATGTAACACATTATTATAAAAAATATTTATACTATACATACTATTAAGAGGTAAACATAAATCATATTATGCATATTGTTTTAGTGAATAATTTAAACAAATATTTATGTTAAGATCATATCTTTTTTACTTAACAAATAAATTTTTTCCATAGAAAGTTGGCATTTTGTATGTTGAATAACTATATTTGATTCCATCATTCTTAAACATATGCATGTTCACTAAATTGTTCCTGTTTAATTGTTTTAATACTATAATAAAAAATTTGTATGGTAAACTATATAATATTTAAAAATTAAAGATGATACTTTTAGTGGTGCATTATATATTTCACACTTATGAAATATCATATATTATATTTAAGAAATCTTAAAATAATTTTTCTCTTACATTTTAAAACTGTCTTTAAAATAACCAAATCGAAACCTAACATCATATGTAGATTAATTCAGAATAATATAATTAAGAATAAATTATTATTTAAAATATATTAATTGTGTAGGTAATGTTTTGTATGTGTAAGAACTTAAAGATATAATTAAGAATCAAAAATAAAATATAGTAATTAAAAGTTGTAACTTCCTAACATGAATAAGAAAGTTACATTAATAACCTTGGCACTTATCTTTTTATGAGGATATTCTTGGCAATTCAAAAGTTTCAAGAAACAACTCATACTTTTAAGGGAGTTATAGATAGATTATAGATGATTTAAGTTGTTACAAGAAGAGACAGTGCACCAAATTAACGGGAAAAATTCAAAAGTAGTCCCACAGGTTTGGGGGGGTGACACTTTTGGTCCCAACGGAATGGCGAAAATACCAATGGTCCCACAACTTTTAAAAAATAATCAAAAGTGGGACATTTTACGATTTTCCGGGCCGAAAATCCACGCGTCGCTCACGTGGCATTTTATTTACACGCTGTTTTTTTTTTTTTTTGCCCTGCTGGAAATTAGAATTCCCACGTGGACCGATTCAGCAAAATATAAAAGCCGAAAATTGGGAAAAATCGGGCAAAAAAAATTGCCCCAAATCGTTCTTCCCCAATTCCCAAATCCCTCCAACATTAGAACCCTAATCCCCAAATTCCCCACGAAAGTTGTGTCGATCGAAATACAACTGAGCAAAAGATCAACGTAGAAACGGGCGTACTCAGATTCGTTCCCACAATTTCTAAAATTTTTTCAAATCTCAACCCTAATTGCAATATGTCTTTCGTCACCGGAGATGGGACATGCCATTGTGGTCGGAGGACGGTGATTCGGACATCATGGAAGGACACCAACCCTGGGCGGCGATTCGAGTCATGCTTGAATTATGAGGTGAGGTGTTAATTAGAATTGCTGGTTCATGTTCTTGGATTTTCTGGTTTATTGATTTCTAAATTTGACTCTTACAGCATGGAGGGTGTGATTACTTTGACTGGTTCGATCCTCCAATTTGTCGTAGGTCTAAAATGATAATTCCGGGCCTCTTGAGAAAGATGAATGAAAGGCAAACTGAGATTGAGAAGCTGAAACAGAAAAATAAAAAGTTGGTGGAGTTGAACAAAAAGTTGAAGAAGATAGTCTTCATTTTGGTTCTT